CTCTGTCTCTGGTGAAGCCTCTCACCGCCCCTGAGCCTCTGGCCTGTACCCCAGTTCTGTATGCACAAAAAAATAAATCTTTAAAAAAAAATTGAGATAAACTGTTTAATATTACTGTATATGCTTTGAAGGTTATAGATTTAAACTTCTATTTAAAAATGTTATTGGGTTAGGTGGAGTGAGGAAATTAAATATATATATATATAATTATACATATATATAATTTATACCATTATATATATATAATGGTATAAAAATCCAGAGGGTTAGATTTATTTCCAGTACTGTACTTTAAAGACAGCAAAATTAGAATTAATGTATAGACTTTTGGGTATAATTTATATAGAAAACTATATGGACTCCTAATTGGTAAGATGGTTTTGATTTTACATCAAAAGTTTGACAGATGAGTGAATGTACAGTAATATATTTTAACTTAAAAATGTCTCTTGTACACTCACACACTATTTTATTATTATAATTATTCAAAGAACTATTGGCCCAAGTGTGCTATATAAGAGGATTTCCATTACGTTAGTAAATAACAGGAAATAAAGTGCTCCACTTCCTGAGTTGAAGTAAGTGAATTTCAGTTTTGGGAACTTGGGAAGTTCCGACTGGGAAGACAGGAGCTTGTAGGAGCCAACTGGCAGGAGAAGGACATGACCTAGTGACAGTGTGTGGGGGGTCCCATAGGGACACCTGCCTGGCAGGACAGAAATCTCACCACTTAAGGGCCATTCATCTCCACTGCGAGTACTAAACAGAGAGTCACAAGGGAAAGGTGAAATGTGAAACTTACTTCTCCATTTCTGAAAAGAAATATATATCATTGATTAAAAAGTTGACAATGATAATTTTATGGCCAAAAATTCGGCGCTTCACAAGGGTTATTTCGCCATTCTCGTACTCTGAAGCACGGATATTTGTGGAAACTGTAGTCTGACGTCCTGAGACGTTTGGTGAGCTGGGGTAATCTAAGAGAGAAAGAGGCGGGCATTAAAATCTAGTATATCTGGCTCTCCCTTGTGGCTTAACGGGTTAAAGCACCATATTATGAAGCTCTCCAAAGCCACTAAAGCATGAGTTTGATCCCCAGCCGGGAGCTGACCCACATGGCGTGGCAGACCTTTCCTGACCCACCCTCTACTCCCCTCAGCAGTGTACTTGTCAGTCGGCCTGTTCTGTTCCCCACTCTGTCTTTGGTGAATCCTCTCATCCACCACACCTCTGGCCAGTACCCCAGTTCTGTATGCATAAATAAACAAATATTAAAGAAAAAACAAGTCTAGTTTCTCAAATCACTCTGAAGTCTGAAGCCTTCCATTTAGGTGTAACTGAAAAGAAGAGAGGAAACTGTAAGAGAGGACCTGTTTGGTGACCTATGCCATAGACACTCCTTGCACTGGGTGCAGCTTTTTACTTAGCTTTGAAGGCTGCTGGCAGAGCTCTCTGCTCAAATGGTAGAGTCCTACACAAACCAAAATAAAGACATACGTGCACACACACACATATATCAACTGAGTACTATGTCCACAATTAGTTGCATATTTCCACATCTTCTTTGAAAAACAGGTAGAACAAGGAGAAAATCAACAAAGCTATCGTAGACTTGACCATTAATAGTCAACATAACCTAACTTACAGAACACTGTACGAACAAAATATGAATTGCTTCTAAGTGCACATGAAATATTTGTCAAGACAGACCGGACTTTGGTTCATAAAATTAAGTTTAGAAGGATCTAGGTCATATGAAACACATTCTCTAACTACAATAGAATTAAATAAGAAAGCAAGGGCTACAGGGAGGGCAGCAGAAGGGAGGAGAGGAGGAAGGAAAGCTGGTAAATCCACAAATACTTGCAAGTATCAAATAGCTTATGTTTATTTGTTAAATTTACTTTAATTTTTTATCTATATTACACCATTCTTCCTTTTTGTACAATGCATGCTTCCTCAAGTGTAGTCCCTCGCAAAATTCCAACCACTAGTTCACCATGCACTTTCACCATAGTCCCTTGTATGTGAATACATTCCCTCCTCTGTTTTGGTCCCTCTCTCTCCCCCTCCCCTGTGGAGCATCTCTGATTAATAGTTGCCAGTTAATTTTGTTTTTAAATTTATTATTTTTTTCCTGGGCTCTTATTTGGTTCCCCTACATTCCTCCTGTAAGTGAAAATCCATCCAATATTTTTCTTTTTCCTTTTGGCTTATTTCATTGGTCATGATCCCTTCCAGCTCCATCCATGTTGCTGCAAATGGTTATATGTTTGCCTTTTTTTGATTGCTGAATAGTATTCCATTGTGTATATATACCATATCCTCTTAATCCAGTCATTTGGGCATTTGGGTTATTTCCAAGTCCTACCTATTGTAAATAGTGCTGCTATAAACATAGAGAAGCAGGTATCTCTTTTTTTAAAGATTTATTTATTTGTTCATACAGAACTGGGATACAGGCCAGAGGCTCAGGGGTGGCGAGAGGCTTCACCACAGACAGAGTGGGGAGCAGAACAGGCAGATCGAAGTATACTGCTGAGGGGAGCAGCAGGTGAAACAGGAGAGTTCTGCTATGCCATGTGGGTTCAGCCATCTCCGGGGCTGGGGATTGAACTCACACTGACGCGGCTGCTGCTAGCCTGCAGTGCTGCACCTTAACTCGTTGCGCCACCAGGGAGGGCACAGAACTGCATATATTTAAATAAACATAGGTCGAATAAGGTATTAAGGAGACAATTGAAAAAAAAAATTTTACTGAATGTAAATTAAAATGTAACATCAAAATTTGGAGCATGTCACTAATTTAAGAAAGAAAACACTACCTATTTATAATATTAACTATAAAACCAGAGTGATCGCAGTATTAGTATATAGACATGTATCAGAAGAATATAGACCTAATTATCTTTTTAATGATAAAACTTCTTAAGTCAAATCTTATTAAAATGGGTTAGGAAAAGATTCATAACAGGACATAAGATGCACACTATAGAAGAAAAATTGATTAAAAATCAAATGAAAAAATTCTGCTCTTCAAAGAAAATGAAAAGGCAAGTTATCAACTGGGAGAAAATGTTTGCAAAATATATAGAGATCAAAGAATATATCTAGATTATAGTAAGCCTTCTTATGCCTCCACATGAAGTGACAATCCACTTTTTATACAAGGCAGAGACTTTGAAAAAACAACTTATCAAAAAATAGATGAGTAGCAAGTAAACACTTGAAAAGATGCTTACTATCATTAGTCAATTGATAGTGAGACACAATTACATACTCTCAAAAATAGCTAAAATTAAAAAGACTAGAATTATACAAAGTTTGGCAAGAATGTGGAGCAACTGAACCTTTGTTAAATTGGTGGTATAAATGCAAAAATGACCTAGCCTTTGGTAGTTTCTTATGAAGTTAGCAAGCCCTTACCACATGTTAAATCATTCCACTCCTTGGAAATTCCATCCAAGAGAAGACTTACACAAAGGTTTGTACTTGAATATTCATAGTAACTTGAGCCTTAATAGCTGTAGACTGGAAACAACCCACATGTCCATCAATTCATGAATGGATAAGCATATCACGATACATTAATCTGTAAGACTATTCTAAAGAAATGAACTCTGGGTACACACCACAGTGCAGCTGAATTTCAAAATCACTATACTTTGTAAAAGAAGCCAGACATGAAAGATTAACAAAGCATACTTTGTTTATATTAAATTCCAGAAAAGATTAAGTATAGAGATAGAAAGCAGAGAATGGTGGTGAAAGGGGAAGGGTGCTGATTCAAATGAGAGAATTTTTTTGTGGTAATGGGACTACTTTAGTTTGTGACTACTGAGGTGATCACATTTGTCAAGACATCAAATTGCACACTTAAAATTGATTGAATTATATAAATTATAGTTTAATAAGAACAATTTTTTAAAGTAATTAAAAATTGGGAATAAACTGCTAGATAATTGGAGAATGTGGAACTTCTCTCCATTTGCTCTATTCTTCTTCCATAGCTTTCTCTAAAATGTTTTAGCCTTTTCTATAGTTCTTTTACATCTTGCATGTTCATTGATTCTTAAAGGTTCAATTCTTGTCTTCCATTCATTCACTTTATTTCTCAGAACAAGTTTGTCTTTACCCCATGTTTGACAACTTTGTCTCCTTTATGACTGGATTGGTGTCTCAGATAACCATGAACAAGTTTGCCTTTCTCTATTCCTTGCAGTATCTCTTCCTTTGTTTGACAGGTTTGTCTTGCATTCCAAGGAAAAGGGAGTTAATTAAACAGCAGTTGCTGAGAAAACAGCCTGGTACACACTGTCTCCATCTCCGC